TACCGTATAATGTTTCTCTAAACAAAAGCTCACTGTTGTAATTATTATTGTAATGTCTCTGATATTTACATGGCAAGGATTTGTTAACCTTTTAAAACTTCCTTAATAAAAAGATGTGGTCAGTGTCACAGCTTTCATGGGTTCCCAGTGTTTCACTTTTAGGCAATGTACAACATTCACTGTTTATTTTTTTCCAGAAGTATAGAAACAGCAATAGAGAAAGCAACACTGGGGACTTGTTCCAGATTTACACCCACGTTTCCAAGATCAGAATCTGGCCAGGACCGGCTTTAGTAAGTGCGGGGCCTGATTCCCAGGACGGCACTTCGGATTGCTGGCTGGGGGAGGAGGGGCCGCGGGGTTTGCTGCGCTCCAGCCGGAGCTCCAGCCGGAGCTCCAGCCGGGAGAGCGGGGCTCCCGAAGACGACCACCGCCGGGGTGAGTGCGTGGGGCCCTCTTAGGCACGGGGCCCGATTCCGGGGAATCGGGCGAATCGGCCTAAAGCCGGCCCTGAATCTGGCCCATTGTTTTATTTTGTTCTGAGTTACCCCCTATTTATGAGACAGCACAGAAGCTGTTTCCTTTGTATTTGCACACTTTCTTTACGATAACTGACGGGATGACTCACTTCTCATATTTGTAATATATATTCAAGACTCCACCTGGTCAAATCCCACCTTCATGATGTTATGCCGATAAATGCTTCCAGTACTTAGAGTGTGGAATGCTGGGTAGAGCACACACCAAGTCAGTTATCTATAGAGATGCTTCACAATCACTAAAAATCAGAATAAAGCCCCAGCGGTGTGAATCTGCACCAATTTAGATTTATATTTATATTTCATATTAAGCAATACATTCTTGTTCTATTTTAGCTTTCAGAATACCAAAGAACATGGTCGGAACATGATTTATTCTGAAACCCAGAGAAAATTCCTCATTTTCCTATCCTATAAACCTTCTAATCATTTGTAGATAAGATTGCTAAAGTACACGCAAGTTAGAGTGTAGAATCTAAATTTTTCTGTCATCAGTTGACCATTTATGAAAATGTTTTTAAAAGTCCTTCAATAAATAACATTTATCAATTCTAGGAATGTGTTCTTGGTTTTTGTTTTGTTTTGTTTTGTTTTGTTTTTAACAAGGGAAGAGAGAGCTTAACTCAAAACCTATTACTTAAGTTATAAAACTACTTTCCAAAAATGATTTATTGTACAAGATATATTCCAGAAAGCTTATCTTTGTTTAACCATGTAAAAATCTACTTGTTCAGAGTCTGCATCCAATTATCTTCCCCTGTCTAGAGAACAACAAAAGTGATTAAGGGGCTGAAGGGGACTGTGTTATGAAAGGAGATTAAAAAAACAAAATATATATAGCTTGGCCAAATTACCACTAAAGAAAAATATGACAAATATGTACATGTATTTGAAAGGTATAAATACTAAGAAGAAAGAGGAAATGTGTAGCATGGACCAAGGAAATAGAGCTCAGGAAAAAATCCTACCAGTGAGGACTATAAATATATGGAGTAGTCTCAGAATAGTGGTGATGAAAACACGGAGCTAGATCTTCTGGTGCAGTGTAGCCACTTATTGCTGCATCATTAACAGCACCTCATGCTTCCAAACAATGACATATAAGGCCAGGTCTATATTCAAAAGTTAAGTTGACCCAGCTACATCGCTCAAGGGTGTGAAAAATCCACACCCTTGAGCAAGGCAATTAATTCAAATTAATTCTACCCGGTGTAGACAGCATAAGGTTGATGGAAGAATTCTTCCATTGACCTAGCTACTGCCTCTCAGGGAGGTGGGTTAACTATGCCAACAGGAGAACCCCTGCTGTTGCTGTAGCGAGAGCCTATGCTGAAGTGCTACAGTGGCACAGCCACAGTGCTGCACCTGTGCCGCTGTAGCATTTCAAGTGTAGACGAGACCTAAGGAGGTATGGACCCACCACTGCTCAGTTCCTTCTCAACAGCCTGCGACTCAAGATGAAGCAATTCCGTGTCCACTGTTCTGAGCTTGCTGCCTTTCTTAACATAGACACTTTATTCTTATTTTTTTATTTAGTTTGTTGAGTTATTTTATTTCTCTTTTTCCTCAAACCTCCTTCACCTCTCTGTGGCAATGCCTCTCCTCCAGAAGGATCTCCTGTCACTGAATTCTGGAATCCTGATCCTTCCTAACCTCTCTTCCTTGACCCTCAGAGCATGGTTCCTAGATGGTTCTCAAGTATGGAGCCAACCTGTTCGGATAGCATTCAGTCAGTTCTTCTATCTAGTAGGAAACCTAGTACTTGCAAAACTTATCTTCAGAAGTGGAAATGCTTCCATTCCTGGTGTTCTCTTCACTGTTCTCAAGAAGTCCTGCTCTCCAAAATCCTAAACTACCTTTAAAGACACAATGTTTATCAATGAGCTCAGTCAGAGTACATTTGGCTGCTATCATAGCTTTCCACTTGCCCACCAAGGACTTCTCAGTTTTTGCCCACCCTAGTATGCCCAGATTCTTCACAGACTTACACAACTTGTTTCCCCTTGTATGGAACCCTGCCCCACAGTGGGACCTTAATTTGGTTCTCAGTGTCCTGAGGAAACCCCCTTTGAACTGATGGCAACATGTTCTTTCCTCCATCTCTCCCTCAGGACTTCATTCCTTATAGCCATCACTTTGGCTAGACCAATGGGAGAGCCCGGTGCTCTCATGGTGAGCCCACATTTACTGTCTTCTACACAGATAAAGTTACACTGCGTCCCCATCCTCGATTCCTTCTTAAGGTCTCTTCGGAATACCATATTAATCAGAGGTCTGCCTACCAGTGTTCTACCCCAGAGAGGAAACCAGCTTACGTACACTAGATGTCAGGAGGCCCTTGCCTTCTTTCTCAGCAGGACTAAGACATTCAGGGTCTTTCCCAGATTATTTGTTTCTTTTTTGCAGAGAGGATAAAGGGACAACCTATTTCCATTCAAAGACTGTTGAAGTGGGTTTTGGGTTGCATTTTAACTAATTATGAGTCTGCTGGGAAGAGTCCCCTCACAGAGCGACAGCACAATCCACTAGGACTCAGTCCACATCTATGGCTCTACTAAAAGATATTCCCATAGCAGAAAGCTATAGGACTGCAACTTGGTATTTCTTTAACACTTTGGCCAAGAATTATGCCATCTGACCTGCTTCCAGGGATGGTACTAACTTTGGTGACACAGTCCTCTGCACTGTTGCCTCCTCAACACTCACCTCCTTGTTGATTTACTGCTTGTGAGCCTTCTATGGTGGAGCACTTTTAGGGACAAAATATCTCTAAGAATTCAAGTCACTGCAAGGTAAGTAACCTCTCCCATATCCAGCCCCAAGCAGATCACCCAACTGTAAGGGTGATCCTCCACTGGCACAGAGCCAATGTAGGGACTCTTCCACTACCTTCCCACCCTGTGTAGGATGTATGACTGGTGACACAAAGTATGCCCAGGACATACCTACACTGCACTGATCCTTAGCTGTAGTTTGGACCCCACTGTTAGCCAGGAGAAGTCAGAGCAGGCTCTAGGTTGCTCTAACTCATGCTGAAGACCTGACTTGCACAGAGCCACCTCGGGATCAGGAGAGTGCAAATGAGTTTTTTTGCTCCCATCATTAGTGATATGTGCTGTGTGCAGGTCAGTCAGACCTCAGAATCTGGCTCACTAACAATAGCCTATGATTTAATAGGTCTTTCCATTTCTAATTTCTGTGCTTTAAGATTAAAGAGTGGGATTATGGAAATGATTCTAACAAACTAACTAACATTCTTATCTGGGAAACCCACAAAGCCCTGTGGACTTGTTGACCAATACATGGAGTCTTTAAAGTAATTCATTCTGTATTTTTCCACTTTCCTGATTAATTTTTGTGCGTGAGTGTGTGCGCGTGTGTATAAAAAATATGTATGTCTTCAGCCATGCCTGTTTATGGTGAATGTCTCAAATAGACATATAATGTAATTTATTACTATACATAATGGCCTACATTTTCTAATGTGATTCTAGAGTGACTAGTGATTTTTTGGATTTGAACTTGATACACCTTAAAGGATCCTGATTTTCAAATGGCAGGTAGCTAATTACTTTCTGTAAGTCTTTAGGACGCCCCTTTAAGGTGTCAAATGGGGAACCAAAAATTGAAGCATCCAGTCAGTGATCATTTTTGAAAATTCAGCCATTACTTTTTAAGTTTAGCTCCCTCCTCAGAGTACAAACACCTGTATGTACACTCCGAGTTTAGGTGGAACCCTTATATGTACTTCCTTTACTAAGTATGTCTTATTAGCGTACAGCACCATTATTAAATATAGGGTCTGATCCTGAAAATCCATATTTACATGAATAGGGACTATATTGTACTACAACTGAAGCATGGGAATTATGGGTCATAGGCTCTTAAATACAATGAAAAAAGAAAGGGCAAAAAGGCCAGAAATCCATTATAAATAACAAATATGCACTTTTAGTTTAAGAGCCCATTAAAATGTAAATAGCAACTTACAGTGTTCCAGTAACAGTAATCATAGGAACTCACCAGCCTGTCTTAAAATCTGCCTTTAAGGACTCTCCTAGTCCTTAGTTGAAATCCTTGAGGTAAGGTCTAACAAGAATGAAGGACATTTGAGCTAAGCTCTGGGCTGGAGACCAGTTTTACAGTTCCTTAGCTCAAACCTTTCTTGTTTTAGTCAATCAGTCCCCTATACCTTTCCCTGATATTTCCCTCCTTAGCCCTCCCCTCCTTGCCCATATATTTCTTCCCCTTATTAAAACATTTTTCTATCTTGTTACTTCCAGCCTAGAGCCAACCACTAACAAGCCCCCCATATAAACAAAGAAACCCAAACTAGAATATACAAACCACCTAATATACAGCATTTTCTGCTCTGCCCTGGGAAGTTGCAGTGTTGTTTTCCTTGCAATACTGCACTCCTAACATAAGATGGTATCAAGGTCCATCCGGCCATCCCCCTCACATGATCTAAAATGGAGTCCAATAGGCAGTAACAAACACTGCAGCTTTTCTTACTTTCAGAGTGATCTCTGCAAAAAAATTATAGCAAGGTAAGAGTTCCCACATCTTTTGCACACTTCTATTCAGCTGTACTTACTTGGTTTCTTTTTTTGGCTCCCTTCACCACAACCAAAGAACTCTTAGGAGGAGTATAAAATGGCAGTAGTGATTTTTTTTTCTTCCTTACCTACAGGCAAGAGGCAGACTTCATTTTTTTAAATATAAAAGTATGAGAATAAGGGTAATATTGAGGGAAAGTTTGGGCAAAGGGGAAGAGTTTGCATTTTGCTCTGAATGCAGTGAGTTTAGTGCACATTCAAGATCAACTTTCACATGGTTTCTGTGTGAAAATTCTGTACAGTTTGGAGGGTTACGGCCAAATCCTGATCTCAGTGAAGTCAGTGGAGTTACACCATGGATGAATATGGTTCTTTGCTTCCGAGATAACTTTTTAGAGTCAATGCATTTGAAATAAGCCACTATATATATGGTAGGAGCCAGTTCCTCAGCTGGTGCAAATTGTGAATTTGCATCCGCTGAGGATCTGGCCCCAGGAGTCCTATTTCTTTGTATCCGTTTAGATGAGCTAGACTGATAATTCTTTATTTCTTAACAATTCTGCACATTAAAGTTGTAATAACATCTGTTCATCTGTACATTTCTATATTTTGACAAAGCAAGTACTGATATCATACATTTGAAATGACAGTTTTTAAGCCAAATATATCAGTTTTATATTACTTTTTTTATTAATTAGAATACCCCCTGCTTCCCTTCAACTATTTATCTTCCAGATATTTTTCACTAACACTCTTATGCCTTCTATTCACATAAATATTTAGCACAGAATGAGATATCTGATGTGCTGATCCTTACATGTAAATCTGTACCAAATATGTAATCCAAGCTAAGTATAAAACCTGTGATTGGATAATACAATTATAAATGTTTGGAATGTTGTGATACAAGATGAAGTTAAATAGGGCTTCACATAGTCAAAGTTGACTCATCTCATACTCTAGAGAAGACCCACAAGCAGAAGAAAGATTTTGGTTTTTTGATAATGCCAATCCTTACACAGATTGAATATAGTCACATCTTTTGGTCATTCCAGGAAGCACTTCTGGCAAGAATATAACACCCCGAAGAACAACATTACGATGTCAGCAACATTGATTTTCTGGCACTGCAACTCCATTTACAAAATTATATTATTCTTTATATCCAGTACCCAAAGGAATGACAGCATGAAAAGTCTGCCAATTCCACAGCACTAGCAGGCAGGCGGTATTTCTTTGGCAACCCATCTCTATTTCCATATCCTCTTGCTTTAAAAATAACCATTTATGATTAATTCTATATCTTGAGAGACACATTAATGGCTCTCCTTTCCAACTGGCTTTGGTGAAATAAAGTCTCATAGCCTAAAACAAGGGTATCAGGTATGGCATATGTATCTTTCTTTTTGGCAGCATAACACAATATTCAAACAATTAATATTAACATTTATAGAAAATACATATTTATTTTACACATGGTTGTGTCAAATTCACCACTGGCATAAGTGGGAGATGTTATGCAAGATAATTAAGCCCAAAAGCTAATTGTGAAGAGTTGCAAAGGGATCTCACTAAACTGGATGACTGGACAACAAAATGGCAGATGAAATTCAGTGCTGATAAGTGCAAAGTAAAGCACGTTGGGAAAAATAATCCCAACTACACATACAACTGATGGGATCTAAATTAGCTGTTACCACTCAAGCAAGATATCTTGGCGTCATCATGGATAGTTCTCTTAAAATATCTGCTTAATGTGCAGCAGCAGTCAAAAATGCTAAAAGAATGTTAGGAGCCATCACAAAAGGGATAGATAATAAGACAGAAAATATCCTGATGTATCTGTGTTAATCCATGGTGTTTCCACACCTTGAATATTGTGTGCAGTTCTGGTCTCCCCATCTCAGAAAAGATTGGAATTAGTATTGGAAAAGGTACAGAGAAGGGAAATAAAAATTATTAGGGGTAGGGAACAGTTTCCATACAAGGAGAGATTAAAAAGACTGGCACTGTTCATCTTAGAAAAGAGATGAATAAGGGGAGATATGACTGAGGTCTATAAAATCATGAAGGGTGTGGAGAAAGTGAATAAGAAGGTGTTTTTTACCCCCTTCATATAACATAAGAACCAGGGTCACCCAATGAAATTAAGAGGCAATGGGTTTAAAGCAAAACATAAGGAAGTACTTCTTCGCACAATACACAGTCAACCTGTGGAACTCGTTACCAGGGGATGTTGTGAAGGTGAAAAGTATAATTGGGTTCAAAAAAGAATTAGATAAATTCATGGAGGATAGATTCATCAATGGCTGTTAGCCAAGATGGTCAGGGATGTAACCCCATACTCTGGATGTCCCTAAACCTCTGACTGCCAAAAGCTGGGACTGGAATACAGGGGACGGAGCACTTGAAATTGCCCTGTTCTGTTCATTTCCTCTGACGCATCTGAAGTGGCCACTGTCAGAAGACAGAATATTGGTATAGATGGACCATTGGTCTGTCCCAGTTCTTATGTTCTTCCATTGAAGTCAGCACAACTGGTGAGCAGGCAGAGAACAGAACTGCCAATTCGTAGAATCCGTCATCAAATGGCTGCATAACACACATTACTGCAATTGAAACCTGTAGCAGGATCCTCCTGATCCATAGGCAGCAGTCCTAAAGTGGAAGGCAACTGGAGGACATGTCCTCTTGCTAAACTCTTCTTGTCAGCAAGCCATCGGCAAGTCATCCTTACCATATCTTACCTTCACATATAATGTGTTGCAATGCATTGCTGGGACATGGTATTGATGCAACGTGGCATAAAAAACAATTAAAAGCATGTTTTTCCTCAGAGGGCTTGGAGGAGCACCCTTGTGGACAGAATGGAAAGGGAGAGTGTATAGAGGAGAAATGTGCAGCAAAAGGGAAGAGACAGGCAGCAGGACATGGTAGTACTTTTCAAGCACCAGATGGATATGCTGGAGACTATTACAGACCCTCAGGTACAAGTCACCCATGTTCAACTCCTGCTAGAGCCTCTCAATAACTGCATTCTGGGACCTTCCTACATGCCCATCCTCACATACCACATATGTTCTGGGGCCACTGCAGTATCCTACCACTCCACCCTGAGGGAGAGTACACAAAATCACAGTCACACATACTCTGACCTGTGAGACACTCAACTGGTGAATGTGTTTTTGAAATGAGAATGACTGTTTTTTCCCCTTCAAAGGTTCTTTTCACGGTACTTATACAGTTTCATGCAGTTACAATTAAAAGTCTATTTATGGAAAATTAATTAATCTATATTAGTTCACAACATAAAGTGGCCTGGGATGATATCATTCAAAGATAATAGCAATAGGTGCATTTGCCCTGTTATATTACCATGCACACAGGACTCATTACAAGGTTCATACCGGAATGCTAAAAAACAATGCCAAGCAGAACACACTACAACACACATTACTGTGATTCACTATTGAAATGGTCTTTCAAAGCCTCCCTGATCTGTATAGGTGAACTCTTCTTATAGCCCTGGTATCTGGCTGCTCAAAACCAGCAGTCAGGCATTCCCCCTCCACACTCCACCCCAGTGGAAACTTTCCTCTCTTTGCTTCACAGATATTATCAAGCGCACAGCAGGCAGCTATAACCATGGGGATATTTTTTTCACTAAAGTCTAATTGTGTGAGCCAGCACCCTTCAACAGTCATTCTGCACCTGCTGAGCCTGTAATTGAAATTTTCCTTGGTGCTGTCAAAGTGGCCAGTGAATGGCTTCATGAGCCACAGAAGAAAGGGGTAGCCTCGGTCTCCAAGGATCACTATTGGCATTTCCATATCCCCAGTGGTAATCCGCCAGTCTGGAAAGAAAGTCCTTGCTTGCATCTTTCTGAACAGGCCTGTTTTTTTAAAGTGGCGTGTGTCATGCACCTTCCCTGACCATCCTGCATTGATGTCGGTAAAATGTTCCCGGTGATCCACCAGCACTTGCAATACTATAGAAAAGTAACCCTTTCTGTTGATATACTCCTTGGCAAGGTGGTCTGGTGCCAAAATAGGGATATGTGTGCTAGCTATCGCCCCACCACAGTTCAAGAAACCCATTGCTGCAAAACCGTTCAGAATGGTTGTCAAGAGTCACAGTCCTTTGTAGCAGGATGCAATTAATGGCCCTGCACACTTGCATCATAGCAATCCCCACAGTGGATTTCTCAACTCCAAGTTGATTCCCAGCTGATTGGTAGCACTCTGTCATGGCCAGCTTCCACACAGTGATCGCCGGCTTCCACACAGTGATTTTTTCTCCACCGTTAGTGTAGCTCTTATTTTGGTGTTGCTGCATCAGAGGTCTGGGGCAAGCTCTACACAGTTCCATGAATGTGACCTTGTGCATCCAAAAGTTCTGCAGCCACTACTCATCATCCTGTGCTTGCATAATGATGCAATCCCACCAGTTTGTGCTTGTTTCTCAGGCCCAGAACCAGCACACAACTGTCTGCAACTGCTCCGTGAATGCCAGCAACAACCTTGAATTGAATCTTTCTGTGTCTATGCAAGTCAGCCTACAAGGTATCGTCATATCCCTCCTGGCTCCTCTGGCAGCTCTGAAGGACCAGGTACATTGTGTTCGTAACAGTCAGCACAATACTGAAAAGCAGCGCAGGATCCATGCTTCTCACAGAGGTGGCGGATGCGCGGGTTTGCGGGGCTTTTGAAAAGGGATGCAGATAATATTATGGGATGGAGAAAACTGCATCATGGGACATTGAAACTGTGTTCCCAGTCACCTCTGCATGACTCATTTGCCTGCATGAAGCTTTTCAAACCCTTCCCAAAACACCCTGTGCCAGATGGTGGTGCAGTGCACGGCAGGATAGCTACTCACAGTGCACTGCTCTCTGCATTGATTCAAGCGCTGCTAGAGAGGATGTGCACCGCTGACACAAGGACTGTAGTGTGGACATGCAAAAGTGATTTAATTATTGCGGCGGCTGTACTTCATTGTAATTTATGTTGACTTAATTTTGTAGTGTAGAATTGCCCTTAGTCAAGGTCCCAAAAGAACTCTGTGGCAGAGCTGGGAACAGATTTCCTGAGTCTGAGTCTAGTGTGTTAACCACAAGACCATTCTTTTGTCCCTTAGTGCCTTTGACAGAGACAGAGTAACAAAAGCTTTCATTTGTCTTACAACACACACCTGAAAAAGTAAGAAAGGGCAAATATTTTGCCAACCTCAGCCCACTGTCTCTTAAAAAAAAATCCTTCTCATGCTAACCCTGGCTTCTGAAGGAGTCAGTTTTAAGATACCAACCACAGTGGGAATAAAGGAATTAATCAAAATAATTAAAAATATTTCTTTGTGAATCTCATAATGACTAGTTAGGTTCAGGGAGAATAAGAAATGTCCATATTATCTCTGAACCTGGGCATTATTCATTATTTTAACTGTGTTCAATTTTATATGCTTTGACACTGGAAAGTCTGTGACCCTTTAATACCTAGTAAACATTTGTGGTGTTTTGTTAAAGTTTTTATCTTGTCTACACATGAACAGTTATTAACTCTATTTTCTTCGTATTCTTTTATTTTAATTTCATAGTTGTTTGTTTAGGATATATTTTAATACTTGACAAATATTTTTTTTTTAAAATTGACAATTACATAGACAGAGAGCGTAAGTGAAATATAATCTCTCTTCCAATAATTTTAGATGAGGCACTTCATAAATGGAAAGGGCAAATATTTGGACCCCTGACCCAACATGGTTGAAAATCACAGAAGAAAATGAAAGGCCAAAGACTAGTGAACAACACTTTCATTCACCCCTGTTGAGAGGGAGTAAGACAGACTGATGGCTTTTCTTGAAGGGGTTGAAAATGAGTATTATCTGGGATCAAAAAAAATTCTACAAGAATGTGGGCATCATCACAAGGAAAACATATATAGTATCTTATTACTCACTGCATGATTATTACGGAGCACACTATACACGCTATAAAATGGGTCAGGTTGACTTACGTATGCTGGAGGGGCTGGAATGAAATAATGAATGACTAAAGGGGCTGGGATGAATCTAATGGGAATGCCCAAGACTCCAGTCTTGCACAAAAGAGTGTTGAATGACTTCCTGGATGATGCTGAACTATTCAGGGAGGGGGTGCCAAAGACCTTTGGCATGATGGGGGGATGCCATGTGGATGAGGATGAAAAACAAATGCCCGTGGAGTGGTTTGAGCAGGAGGCTAGCCATGAATATCCAGATGGGTATAGGAAACAAGAGCAGGGGTCCTGGTTGGAGGTGCTCCTTAAAGGACTCCATCAGAGACCTTTGCAAGTTCAGATTTGGTTTAGACATGGGCTGAGAGTGGAGCTGGTTCTCATCTTATTGGAATTGCCTTCCATCCTTAAACTATATACATCTAAGGTCACAATCTGGCTCTCTCAGAAGTACAGCAACTATTGTATGGGACACTAGATGTGAAACTGGGCAGTCCTCCTGCCATCTATCCTTCCTCCACTCACATGTTGTTGTGGAAAACAGTTGTTCTGCTAGTGTGAACAGGGTCAACTGAGTTCAACACCTGTTGTAGTAAAGCGTGCCAGAAACCTAGCATACTTTGCTACTGTGGGTGTTGAACTCAGCTGACCCCGTTCAAAAGAGCAGGACAACTGTTTTCAACAGTATCTTGTGGGATGAATGGGCTCTGGTATGTTTGACACTCTGTGTCAATATGGCAATTTCTATACTGTAGACACTTCCTCTTAGTCTGCTGGAAACAAGTGTTCTAACTGCATTGCTTGTACAGACTCAGTCTCTCCACAGAGGCCTAAAATTTCTGTGGTGTTTCATGACATGCTAAGAAGCCTGATCCTCACCTATTGTTGTATCTATGAGAAATTATTCCACAGAGTGAACTAGAAGATATAAGGCAGATACCAGCTTATAGAGCATCTGCCTAACCTATGTTGACATAGCAAATGTCCTATTTACATTAAAAACAAGACTAAGAAGAAAAGGCAAAAAATATGTTGTCATCAAGGCCACCGTAGTTACATTTAAACACTGCTGTGATTGAATAGGTCCACATACAATTTATAAACACTTAGACTGGTGCACTTAAATTTACAGTGATATTTATTTTACTCCTATGCATCAGAGTAAAGAAAAACGTGTTTTTTGTTATCAGGCTGCTGGAGGCCCCACAATCCTACTACACCATGTCCTAGGAAAGGAGCAGCAAAGGTGGATCCTCCAGGCCTGCCTAGAGAGGCTGCATGGAAGCATCCAATCAGAGCTCAGCAGCCTCAGATAAAAGGAGCTGCAGGAGTTTAGCTGCTCAGTTCCTGGATGGGACTTGGGTAAGCTCTTTTCTGCCACAGGAGCGCCACTGGCTGTATTTGCTTAAGCTGGGAGAGAGAGGATTTACGAATTGTAATCATTAGGTAAGGGGTGAAGATAAAGGGGCCAGGTAGGAAAAGGCCCAGGAAGTAGCAGCAATGAACTGAAGTGAGCAGTATGTGGCTGCTGTTTATAGGGTCTCTGGGATGGAACCCACAGTAGTGGGTGGGCCTGGGTTTGACCGCTGGTGAAGTGGTGTAACCCCAAGAAGGGGGACAAGGCTTCTTAGGAAGCCCAAGTGAAGGGGTGAATTTAAAGGGCCCAGAGCCTGGGCTGAAGACCATGGTGAGGGTAAATAGACTGTTTCTGATGGACTCTTTCCTTACCCCAGAAGGGGTTCATTTTGACTGTGACACCCAGCTGGAGGGCTGAGCCACTGGGAACCTGCCAAATGAGGTCAACAACCTATAGGGGTGCCAGGAGTGGGGAAAAGGACTGCAGGGGTGCCACATGCTTCAGAGGGAGTGAACAGAACAAGGCAATTAATCGAGTGATCCATCCATGTAATCCAATCCCTGATTCTAGCCATCAGAGGTTTAAGGACACCAAGAGTCTTAGGGACACCAACATTGTAATATCTGTAATGGGGTTTGATAAAACACTGAAGGCAATACATATTTTAAAAGGAAAAGAGTCTCATAGATTCCAAGGCCAGAAAGGACCATTGTGATCATCTGGTCTGACTTCCCGTATGACACAGGCCATAGAATTTCCCCCCACAATAATTCCTAGAGCATATCTTTTAGAAAAACATCCATTCTGGTGTAACCCCTTTGGAGGAGTGCTCCTGAAATACCACACTGATACTGTAGGGGACTTGCACCTGGATTACAGAAGTAATGGGGTCAGAGGCACAGAACTCTGCCTAAGATCCAGAGGAGAGAGAGAACAGGCTGGCAATGCTACTAGCACCAGTCATGAGCTAGGACTCAGAGAAAAGGGGCTGATTTTATTTTCATTTGGCTGTTGGAGTTGAGCAGAGAGAGAAGCATTACAGGTAGGGAGGACCTTTTTCTACCCTCCACACCCCTACCCAAGGGAAGACTGATTCCTTTGGGGATTTCTGGGACATTGAACACTGTCAGCGCAGCAGAGACCAGAAACCCAGGAGGCTGAGGAGGGAGTCAAGGTCACGCTACCAAGCACCAGCCTAACTGCACATTTGAATCCAGACCCGAGAGCCACAAAGACAATCTCTCCATCCTAGGTATGGAGACTTTGTAACACCCTCGTTTATTTTGACATTGTGTCTTTAAGGCAGCCACCAATTTCAGCACTTTGAAACCTATCAAAGACTGAGCCTGAACTCACTACTTGCCTAGGCAGGTGCTGGGAGGAAGCAGGGAAGTATGCATTGGCTGTATATGTTGGAAGGGGTGGCATTTGTGTATTGGTAAGTTTTTCCCAATTGTTCGCTATTCTGAGTTTCCCTGTACCTGATAAAATCCTGGTTATTGTTTTATTATTCTAGCAGTTGTGATAGCTACTTTATTTTTGTGTGCACTAACACTCATCTGTATGAGATTGGGTGTTTAATATTTTCCTAAGGAACGGGACCCCTGCACTAGGACGGGGTTTCTTGGGTAGAAGCACCAGGTGCCCTTATGGATGAACCCAGGAAAGGGAGAAGGCTGCAGCCCCACCTCATGGGTTACAGTTGGTTTAAAAACTGTCAGTGGTGGAGACTGCCCCATGAGCCTTAATAAGTTTAAAGGTGTTGGTGTAGTTGTTGTGCTGATCACACTGCAGAGGCAAAGTGGCAGAAGCAAGTTAGCTCACCCCTGGTTAATGTCAATGGATTTAAGCCCTGATTAAGTAAAGTACTTAAGTGCTTGCTTAAATTCCATTGAAATCACTGTGGTGTAAACACAAGATTAAGTG